ACACCGCCACTTGACTTTCAATAAATACTTCATTATGCATCTGCAATTCTGTCTTCACAGCAATCTACTGCTTTCCCACACAGGAAACCTTGCACACTTATTGCTCTCCAACTTCAGAATGATACTATTATCATCCAAACCCCTAACCAAACTTCAACCTTTTTAGCTCTTTATAGTCCCATACCCCTGCATGCTATGATTGGTGACTTATTTGTGCTTGAAAATACTATGTACTAAAAATGCTGTTTAGTGTCCTCTCATTTCAGTGCTCTGTGCTAGCATAGATGAGTAATAGTCACACCCCTCATTACAAGTGTCCTCACACAGACTTGTACGGCAAAGGAAGAGAGAAGTATGACAGACCAGTTCTGTTACTGAAAGCTGATTACTGAATGAACCATGTCTAAATATGGTGCCTATTGGACAGCACAGTCATATTTAGACACCCTCCACAGCTAGTACAGGAAGGTGGAAGTAAGGCTATGAAACGGAGCTTGTTATTACAATGTCTATTTGGCTGACTATGTAACTTCATTTGGGCCAGTATAAGCCAGTATCAGCCAGTATAGGGGCATCCATTGGAGGCAATACCGCTTTGGAGTACTAAACACACACATCTAACATCAAAATATGTTATTTGTTGATTTTTTATAATGAAATGTTTAATGTGCTAAATGTGTGATATCGCTAATAAACTATACATCAATGTATAATTATATATCAATTGATTTTTCCTGTACTTTCCCAAGAGCAAATAAAAGCACAATATAGCATTACTAGATTTCTACCATTCGTCACACCAGCATACTTTTGTTAGTATTGTTAGTTTATATTTACAAAATGTTATTGTTAGTTTCAAAAACATTTTAAACTCAGAATAATTTTATAAAGCTTGTAAATTCCCTTTAGTGTACAAGAAATGTGCCAGCTTGGTGTCTGAGATAAAAGTACGCAAGTATGGCTGAGTCACAGATCTGAGAAACTGAGCTAGGGGCATATGTGCTTCAAGCAAATGAAGCAATATGTTAAACTGCAATTCTTTTTGAAATCTCCTATAGAAGAAAATCTGCGATAAAATATTGTATTACAGGGGGGATACAAAGCAAACTTTCATCAGTCTCTGCTAATGCTAAAACTCAGGAGATTCATCGGCCATGTGCCAGAAATGCCAACAGTCAGGGTACACACAGGAAAAGGCTGAGGCTGCCTGGGGGATGCACGTAGAGCGAAAGCATTTTTTCAAATCACAGCTCCAGTGCAAGTTTGCAGAACAGCTGTTTAAAAGGACGCACAGGGATACTGTCTTCATATGCACAACAAGACTCCAAAGAGAGAACATCCACCACAATAGGGGTTCTTACCAAGATTCACCAATGAAATTCCAGATATTGCTGTTGTTTTTCTTTCATAACAGTGAGTATATTTATAGTCTGATATTCTATTAACTGGGATATGTGTTGGTTTGCTGGAATGTCAATTACATATTAAGTTTTATATCTGTTTTTGTTCATGATGTTCTGTAAATATCCTTAGGAAACGATGTATCTTTATAGATGAAGCAAGCTTATGCTCAGTTAGTTTACTGTTGAGTGTACTTTACATTCTGAATGATATAAACAGGCTCTTAGTTACATCTTTATGGTGTGGTTGCTGATTCAATCCCACTGTAAGTGAAATATATCATTTGAATTTTTCTCCATTTCAGAGACAAAAACGTAAATTCATATTTTACATACAAGTGTATACCAGCTGAGAGTCACACACTTTTTTGCTACTTTGGAACTGGAAGGCCACATGACTAATATTTAATTACATAGGAACAGTGGACAGTGCTTGGTTCTGTTACAAGGGCTCACTTATTAGCTACTTTCTCAGTTAAAGTGACACTACACTAAGGAGTGAAACCTTAAAAATGTATTCAATTACCATAACTATTAACAAACATTTTACTTATTTGTGTATCACTCGGCTGTAGATCCTCAAATCATCTCTGGATTGGTGCTGACACTGTCCTTTCTTCTGGAGGGTGGCTACTTTTGTTCCCTATGGTCCCTGTGTCTGTTGAAAAGTAGCCACTGCTCCAAGCTCTCTCCCGTGATGGACTACAATCTCAATACAATTTAGTAAGCTAAACGTGAAATTGTATTCCATCATGGGAGGGAGCTTGAAGCAGTGGCTACTTTTCAACACACACAGGGACCATGGGGAACAAAAGTAGCCCCCCTCCAGAAGGAAGGACAGTGTCAGCATGAATTCTGAGATGATTTAAGGCTCTACTGCTGAGTGATGTACAAAGAAGGTCTGGTATTGTTAATAGTTAAGTTAATTGAATCCATTTTTAAGATTAAACTCCTAAGTTCCATGTCACTCTAACCTCTACTCTGCCATGGTTCTTAGTAGCCTATTAACCACCATGGTTAACATCTGGATGTTCCTAGCTCAATTACGTAAGAATAGAAAGTACAGCCAAAAATGGGTGCTTTTGTAGTGGATTAGTTTGTTGATGTTCTGCCTTACAATCAGTCAGTGTCGGGACAAGGTCCTCTGGCACGCAAGGTGAAAATACCAATGGGCTAATCCCCCTCCCCTCCCTGAGCTGAGGAGGATGGAGCTGGCATATTCACACGTACAGTGACTGGGTTGGTGAAGGGTACAGAAATAACAGCCACATTGGCCCTAGAGTTACCACCAGTGGTGGAACTATCGCCATGACGACCCAGGCAGCCACTTTGGGGCCCGGGGCGAAGGGGGGCCCGGCCAGGACGAGGAACAAAGGCATCCCCTTGATGCCGTGCGGGCCGCCTGGGTTGCTATGCCATCGCTGGCTGTCAATTAAGGCTGTGAGGAGGAATGTGCCGCTGTTCAGATCACTGACGAGCTGTCAGTGATCTGTGCAGCGGTGCGTTCCTCCTCACCGCTGATGCTGAGTCAGTGACAGCCAGCAGTTGCAGAGGAAGAGTCTGGGCCCGGTGTCGGCAGCAGAGGAGGAGGAGGGCCTGGCGTCAGCAACAGAGGAGGCGATTTGCATTTTTAATAAGGGTGCTAGAATTATGTTACTGATATAAAGCATTAAGGGCCCATTTACACCAGATCCGTTACGTTGGGTTACGATCTGTTTTCTAACAGATGGTAACGCAAAGGCAGAGAAAAATGAATGGATGTATATGGGACATTTCAAACTGGTGCGTTGCATTGCCATCTGTTGTGCTGAAAAAAAGCAGAACATGCTCTACTTTTTTTAAGCGCAGTGCAATGCAACGCAGCAAGAATCCACAGTAACGCAATGCATCGCTTTACAGTGAAGTATGTCCACTCTGAAATAGCACAGGTGTAGATCTGCCACTGACATATGTAAATTATTTGAAACGTTTTTGTATCCATTATTAACTAATTCTATACATGGAGGCAGTGCCCTGTTTTTGGTTTCTTTTGTTAATAAAGCCACCCTGCTGCTAAAAAGAAATTGCACAGAATGACCTCTCCTACTGCCCGTATGATGGTTCGATACAGAAAACTGCCCCTGTGAAGTTTTTACAGAACACATTTCCTGAAGTGTTAATCTTCTGGTCCTCTGATGCTCTCATGGGCTATTCTCACTGACCTCTATGTCACTACTGTGTCCTGTGACACATGTTGCGATCTGGAGTTTCATGGACACTGTTCTCCCACACTAGGACCTCAAACAAGCCAGGATTCTGTCATGGGATTTTGGCTTGTGTAGCTGATCTGTATTGGATTCTCATTCAGATTAATCAGGTTCCTAGCTAGCACTTTCTGTGCTCTATCTCTGAGCTCCTAGTTTGTCACAGTGAAATGTCTTGTTTTTATGTGGACATTTTGGGATATCAGGAATGCCAAAAGGCCAGTTTTTCATGGTTCTTTCATGGCAGTACCCTGAAAAAACTACCTTATGTCTGGAATAGCTCTAAAAATTAGCAGTACATATCCTGACGTGACTGTGCATTGAGTGTATATCTGCAGTGCGAAATCATCTACATTACACACTACTGCCTCTGCCTGCTAGTCTAATGATATTTAGAGTGGAGTGACGTGCCGTGCCTTCTGTGCTGGGTGAGGCATCCCCCCAGCCAGTGGAAGCTCCGCCCCATCCTGCTGAAACTCCTCCACCCATTCTGTCGAAGTTCCACCCCCATCCTGCTGAAGCCCCACCACCAGCTCGGTAACCAAGCTGTGTGGGAAGGAAGGGAGGAGACAGGGAGGAGTCTCCCTGTCCCTCACTTGCTCATCACTGGTGAGACATTGAGATCAATGTCCTCACTGTTTATTTTTTATTTTCTATTGGACCAATGGCGCTTTGCTATTGGTCCAAGTCATCCACAGAGCTCACACCTCTAACACAGAGTAGAGGCTGCGACAGTTCTGGTCTCACTAGTTAGGTTACACAAGCAGTGGGGAAGCCCGCTGCTGTGTAACCTAACTACCTGTCAAAAGCCGGATGCAGCACTGTAATTAACAGGCAGCGCTCCGTCCATGACAGGTTACACAGCGGGGAGGCTTTCCCTGCTGTGTAACCTGTAACAAGCCAATCTGCATGGAGAAAAAGCTGTCAGCTTCAGACTTGAAGCTGACACATTTTTTCTTCATAATACTAGGTGAGGTTCTGCCTCCCCTGACCGCACATCCCTGTTAGAGTGAGATTTGGTGATGCGACTATTGTGCCACTCACTGTTCTCCTGAAGACTTGCTGGAGAGAAATCTGTACCCGAGGACCTGTAGTGGAAAAGTCTCACGGCTTCTGCTTCATTATTTGTGTTGATCTGTGCATCCTTCACCTCTCCTGCTGCTTTTTCATCAACAGGGCTCACAGCTCCTATGCAGCCCTATGTTAAGGTAACACATTGTGCAGCAGCATATGTTGAACAGAATTTGATATTAGAGTAATAGAACCATAGTACAGAATCCTTTTGATTACAGTAAATATTGTTTTTTAAACAGGTATAAACCAAGAATTGAATAGCTCTCATACACGACACAAAAGGGCAATACTGGACCTTGCGGGAATGATCGAATGTAGTACTGGTCGTTTCCCTTTGGCATATGTTGGCTATGGATGTTACTGCGGAATAGGGGGAAAAGGAATACCAAAGGACAAGACAGACTGGTATGTCTATTTACAGATGTCCTGTTGTGAATGTTTGATGACAAGGTGTGCATGTAATTGCAATTTATCAAGTGCATTATGTAACAAAGATTTTCAAAGACTTATTTCATTTACATTGTGCTATTATATTGCATTAAAATGTGTATACTTATCCATGTCCCTGTGTTATATAATTTTGGTATGTGTCTGGTTCTCTGAACTGGAAGGGTTTGGTTGAGAGTGATACTGGATCTAAGGGACATTTGAAGTCCTGATGGTATGAAGGATTGCAGTCTTTTCAAGTGTCAGTATAACACTTAGGCTTCCCCTGGCGGCTACCCGCTACCCCTTGATGGACCTTGTGTGATAACTCAGAGTGTAGAGGAACATGGAAAGCGCAGAGGGATAAATCAATGAGGTGGTTGTTATTAAAATGTAGTAGCCATTGTGTTTTTGGAGTTACCAATGCCTTCTTCAGGGTTAGAAGTAGAGCACAGCTACTTCAGTATTGGGATCATTATAGTTCTGTTGCAATAACATCAAGCCCAGTGGAAACAGAGGAGTGCAAAGTTTTACAGTTCATTTTCCTTTGTAAGCAGCCACAACCCGAGTAGAAAAGACTGTCCCTAGCTACAGAATGGGATCCTTGCTCTCTGTGGTGAAGTATTGGTCTCATTGTAGAGGTCTGGCATGCCCCCTACTGAGTCAGATCTATAGCTCTGCAGTCAGCAAAGCTCATGCTCCCCACTGATTGGAGAATATTAGCTCTGACTCTTATCCACAGAGAGCAAGGGTCCCAGACTGCAGCATGTTGACAGGGGACATGCTTTTCTACGCTGTGGCTGCTTTGGAAGCAAAATTACCTGTAAGACATTGAGCACCTTTTGTTGATGCACTTGGAATGTGTTAAGCTGATTTAAACTGAGGGTTCAGTAAGGCCTGGTTCACACCTAGGCGTATTGCATATGCGCGGTTGTCGCGCTTTTTTTTTACCGCGATTCGCGGTAAAAAAATCGCGCGACAAACGCGCGTTTCCGAGGGCTACTTGGCTGTATCCCAATGGAAACGCGCAACAAAAACGGCCCAAAGTAGTACATGTACCTTTTCAGGCGTGGGCCGTTTTGTAGCGCGTTAGGGACGGGCGGAAATACGGCAAGGTGTGAACCAGACCCATTGAAAACAATGGGATTTTCATGTTTGAGCGTTTTGTAGAGCGTTCGTCGAGCGTAGAACGCGCTACAAAACGTTCAGGTGTGAACGAGGGCTTAGGCTTTAAATCAGCTTGGAATGCATGGTAGCAAACTAGTACGTGGCATCTGTAATGATGTCATTACATGTGTTGGCTAAAAAGTTTGAGTAAAAGACAATTATTTATTCATAAAACACTTTATCATGTCATCCTTCCTTGGTGCTCCATTTTGCAGTATATTCTCACCCTAGATCCCTTATATTGAGTGTCACTTTCAGTTCAGCAGCACAGACAACCATCAAGAGATATAACACAATGCCAGCTGATTCAACTTAAAATAATAATTACAGACAACACACTATTTTACATTTCCACTTGATTTAAGATATTGCGACAAAAACACGTGCACATTATCAATACTACATATCGTAGCTGTAATCTACACTTCTAAGCCCTGAAAAAGGAGGAATTTGTAACTTAAAACGTGTTGGCTACTAATTCTGAATAAAACATAAATCATATACAAACAACCACATCATTGATTTATCTTTCTTAGCGAGATAGAAAACAGTAATCGAATGAATAAGTGTAACAGCCTGAAAGCGTGAACTTCACCAGCGGTAGCTACATATTTCTTTCATCATGTTGCAGTTAAGTTCCAAAACAGCTTTTAAATAGTATGCAAATGTGTAATTATATGCTCAGCAATCGGCTGTAAATGTCATGTAATTTTAATCCCTCCCGCTCTACTTCTCCATATCTTTTCCTCCACTCACTCTGATAGTTTAGTTTGTTGCTTTTACACTGTCAATTGATAAAATGCCAAACACGCATATTTTGAACAATGCTCATTCTGTCTGCCAGGTGCTGCCATAGACATGACTGTTGTTATGGAATTGCAGAGCAAGTTGGATGTTTGCCTAAGTCCGATACGTATGACTGGAGCTGTACCAATGACATGTTTATCAAATGTGGTAACTATATTAGATCATTTATAGATATTATTTTACAAATGTGGTGTCCATATTTTTTTATTTATTTTTGTGTCCTATGCAAAGATAGCTCAGTATTAGTTTCAACACACTTCATCCTGTGGGCTGAACGAAAAGAATCTGACAGATTTCCCCCTGCTGCTGTCAGAATACCTGAGCAGTGACCAGTAGCTGACTGGCTGCATTTGTTGTTTAACTGAAAATATTCCACCTGTCTCCTTTGCTTTTTTGATTGAAGGATCTCAGGTGTGAGACCTGCTGATCGGACCACCCACTGAGCAAATTCCAGCCAGTTCATCAAGAATTTGCTCAGTATATGGCCAGCTTAACACTCTGGGTGCTTCATCAGCTTCTACCCAAAACTAAATATCTCAGTGAAAATGCTGCTCCTTGCCCTTGCTGGCATAGTCGAGTAACAGCCATACCCCTCATAACAAGTGTCCCTACACTGACTTGTATTGCACAAGAAGAGAGGGTGTGTGTAAGACCAGATCTGTTATTGGGTGCTGATTACTGAGAGCACTGGCTCTAACTCTGGTGCCTGTTGAACTGCATGGTCATATCTAGACAGCCTGTACAACTGTAGCAGAAAAATAGAGAAAATACTATAAAAATGATGGTTGTTAGTACAATGTTGAACTTGTTTCCTTGACTTAATTTGGGCTTTAAATGATAACTAAGCCCAAATAAAAAAGCTTAATTTAGTGCAGCAAATCAGCCCTTAGATGTGGTCACAGAATTCGTTTTCATTAAGTGCATAAAATATCTGTTGATCAGGTCAGATATGCAGTGCTCTGTAACCTTCTGTCAGTTGAACTGAAAGCAAAAACAATGTTATCTTCCTTCCAAGCTATTTTTTGTTAAGTACTTATTCTGCCACCCCCATGTAGTGGAGATGGAGAAAAAGACATGTCTGTAGTCCAAATCAAGGGTACAGCCTAATGTGACAGCCGTAGCTCCCTTCATAGATACAGTGAAGAAGTGAGCGAAGATAGTAAGTACAAATAAATGACAACATTTGGCACCAGAAATGGAAAAAAAAGGTGTGGAAAAAGTTTGCCACGTCCTGTCAACCTTTAAAACACGACTACCGAGTGTGCAGTCCGAGCGCATATAGTTTTGCGGGGGTATAACTCTGTCTTTGGCCAAGATGAGGGTAGACATTTATGTCTCCTCAAATTCCTGCCAACTATCCTCCACCAGCATTGGTAAAAGGGGAACCCAGCAATGTTAGGCATATGTAAATTTGGCAGACTTGGTGCTGAGTAAAGTTGAGTAAAAGGAGGAGATCAGTTTATGTGGGTCTGATTTCAGGAGTGCTATTTCCAGGGTAGTAGAAAAAAGAGTAATATCAGATACGCCCAATTGCATTTTAGTTGCATGTTGATGTTGTATGTAGTAAAAGGAGTCTATGGAATTGGGCACATGGTCTTTAAACATGGGGCATAGTTTTAAAGTTACCATCATGGACAGCTGATGGAGATATTTGACATTCCTAGCATACCAGTATTCAAGGTAGAAAAGGGACAGGAAGTAAGTTAGAGATGGATTGACCCAAATAGGATTGTTCGGGGAGATGGACCAGTTATCTTGAGGAAATAGTTTGATTGCTTGGCAAGTATTCTTAGGGAGGTTCTCAGGATCTGGGTACTTGGTAAGGACATAGATGGCTTTCTATAAATTAAGCTGCATAGGATGACATTATGGCTGCCTCACTGGACTCACAGGATTTATGTTCAGAATAGGAGAGCCAATCTTTTTTACGTAAATTAGAAAGAGGCCATATAGTGCAATTGAAAATTGAGGAAGGCTAATACAGCCTGATGTACAGGAAGTGGCAACATTAGGTATTTTATTACTGTTTGCTTCCTGAGAAAAACGGCTTTAAACTGTTCCGATTTATGCTCAGAAATAGGGATTTCACATTAAAGTAATGTTTATGCTTGCAAATTGAACAGTTTTTGAACAGTTTTAGGAAATAACTAGCTTGGGATATAATGAGAGATAAACATAACTTCTCCATCTTGGTGAAGTCTAAAGAGGGAAAGGATTTCCTGTAAAGAAGACCTAAGAAGAGTTATGAGGAGCAGAGATGTACACCTAAGTCATTGGGTTCAGAGCTTTCTCTGTTTCTTTACCGGAGACTCGTGGTATTTTAAACTCTAAAATAAAGTAGCAAATGTAGTCTTAGTAATTTTGTCTAAATGAGCATGCTTTGTGTGAGCTGTTTATGGAAAATATTTCTGTATGGTCAGTTCAAACTGGTATTTTCTAACCACACAAAAGGAAGACATGTCCAGCAATTACAGTCAATCTTGCTGCAAAACAAGTACTTTTCTGCATTATGTGGCTTTATCCGGACATGCCAAATCTTTATATTTTCATCATTTAAACACTAGAAATCTCTAAATAGTCTAAAATGGCTATGTATAAGGAGGAAGTGGAAGTGGTTTGACAGTTTATCTGGCACTGGACAGCAGGTATAATTTAAACAAGGTTTTAGTATTTCTAAAAAGTGCAGAGAGTTTGGAGTTTAAGTGATAACTTTTATTGGCTAACTTAATTATTAAAGATGCAAACTTTCGGAGATTCCACGATCCCTTTGTCAGGCTTTGCACATTTTTGAAAATGGTTCTGAAACCCACATTTTTTTACACAGTGACAAGAAGGAACAGTGATATATAAGCTTTTTTTAAAAAAAGAAAAATGTGCAACTGTTTTGACGTGCGAGAGTGGTGACGGATGTTGTAAAGCAGTGGTTCTTAATCTGTTTAACCTCAGGACCCACATTTGTCCTTGCTCATTAAGTTGTGACCCAGGTCGCACGGCATTGTAGTACCGTACGTTCTGGTGCGGGCGATCGAACTGTGGGTGGGAGTGGCGTTTGGGGTGCCATTCAAATAAATGGCAATGCAACACACCTCCCACACCAGGACTCTGCTTCATCAGCTTCTCTTGGGGTCCCTAGGTGACATTAGGGGTCTTAAAGACCCCTGATGTCTCCATAAAGAGGACCTGTCACTGCAAATTGGCTATCACATGGGGAGCTTGCTTGCTCCCTATGTGATAGCAATAAAGTTCAGTAAAAAAAAAAAAAGTTTTAAAAAAATGTTACAAAAAAAAATAAAAAAAATAAAACAAATCACATATCAAAGCAATAAAAAAATTAAAGTCCCCCGCCCCCACATGCAAACATGCGTCAAGCCCACCTACGTGCGAAAACGACGATTACATCCATTCCACAGCACATGTTACATATCGCCGCGAACGTCGGCGGGGGAGCAATAATTCTAGGGCCATCAATCACTGATAACACTAAACTGATGAGCGGTAAAAGCTTTTAAAGCGTCGGCTATGGTCAATTTTGAGTATGGTAGTTTTTTGCAAATTAACGGGTGCGCGCAATTTTAAACCTTGACATGTTTTGTGTCTATTTACCCGACGTGACCCCGTCTTTTATATTTTACCAAAAAATAAATGTTTTATAACATAACGTAGGGAGAACAGGTTTCTTTTCAAAATTTTCGGTACTTTTTTCATTATAGAGTAAAACAAAAACCCGTAGTGGTGATTAAATATCAGCAAAAGAAAGCTCTATCTGTCCCCCAAAAATTGTATAAAATTCATTTCAGTACAGCGGTGCATGACAAAATAAATGTCAGTCAAAGTACCACAGCGCTAAATACTGAAAAATGGCCTGGACAGGAAGGGGGTCTAAACCCCCCCGGTCAGCAAGTGGTTAAGATCCACCCAGTCTCCCTATCTTACAAGGACTGGAGTGGATCCTCAGGCTGGGGTCCAGTGTGGGCTGCTGTGCTGTGCTGTGCTGTGATGGAGCTCCATCCATATATGCATTGCTTGTTGCTCCCTCGTGTGACCTGTAGAGGTACCGGGAGCCAGAATGTGACGTCACTCCGGTCCAGGCACCTCTATAGGGCACATGAGGGAGCTGTAAGCAATGCGCGTATGGATGGAGCTCCCTCGCGGCCATAGCCCAATTCCGCCCCACTTTTAGCTGACACTCTGCACCGGGCAGCAAATTTTGAATCGCTGCTTGGTGTGAGAACTGACAGTGCTGTGCTAGGGGGAGGCTGAGGAGCCTCTCACCTAGAAAGTGGAAGGCAAGTGTTGACCTACTGAACACGGGGTCGCGACCCACTTTTGGGTCACAACCCACTAGTTGAGAACCAAAGTTGTAAAGGATTAGGCTATAGAGCGGGGGTGGGCAAAGTCCATCCCTCCAGCTGTGGTGCAATTACATATCCCATTTGGAGGACCGGAGTTTGCCTACCCTGCTATATAAATAGAATTAGATGTGTTATTGGGGTAATTGACTCAAAGATAAGAAGTTCCATTTGTAATTTTTTTTTTTAAATGCTTATATTTATTTGCTCCTTTCTATAATTGTGTAAAAATGTGTGAGTTTAAAATATATACAAAGCCTGATTATGGAAATCTTGAAAGCTTTCATCTTTAATCATTTAACTTAGCCAGTAATGGGTATCACGTAAACTCCAAACTAATCATTGGCTAAAACGGTACAATACTCCAGTATTTCTTAAAAGAAAATCTAAGTGAACCTGTCAAACGTTTTTGTTTTTAGAAGTCCTGCCTAAGAGGAGATACCACTAGTTGTATAGCATTAAACATACCTGCCAGAAAAGCCTCCATTATGTGCTTTCTGGATACTAATTTTACTTTGCTACAGGGACCTGACTTCTGGGTCATGCTCTGCCAACTGCCATTTTCCTTGTTCAGTGAGGGTGCCTCAGTGGCCAATAAGAGTGTTCTCATTGGATAGTGAAATCGCAGAAGTGAGCCCCAGTAACACATTAAGCAGAGGGTCTATAAAATCATAGTCTAAACTATAATCAATGGCAAGCTTAACATTTGTAAGCGGGTTGAGCAAGAAGGAAACAGCAAAGTCAAGAACCATAAAAGTAAAGTTATATAAAGGGGTAAATGACAAATTGAGGAAATAAGGTGAAACAACAATGATTTTACTGAAATAAATGTTAGTGTGTTAAACTAATACTCTGTATTTTATATTAGAATGCCATTCTAGTATGGGTGAAACCAAGAAGAAGGTTACTGTGCTCAAGTGTGCTTTAATTGCTCCCAAAAAATATTCTTGCTTCATAGAAGGTGGAAATGCAGATATTGCAGTAGTAAGGATTTATGAAATATTCAATATCATGCAGGACTAGACATGTGCGATTCGTTTCATTCCGAAGTGAAATTCGGACGAAATTTCGGAAATTCGGAGATTCGGATGCATCCGAATTACAGCTAAAACGAATGCAAACGAATCCGAATTCCCGATTTCCCGAAATTCGTTAGCTGTAGTCCGGTCGAAATTTCGTTTATTGGACGAAGTTCCGTTAGCAGCAAAGTGACATTAGAAAAAAAAAATGTTTGTTTTTTTTTTTCACAGTCTGCAGAAGATGAAGAAAAAAAAAGCGTGGGGTTCCCCCCCAATTCATACCAGACTCTTTAGGTCTGGTAGAAATGTTAGGTGGGACCCTCCCCCAAGTTAAAACAAAAAAAAAGTGTGTGGGGTTCCCCCCAAAATCCCTATTTTAAGGGGGAACCCCAGCCCCCAAAATGAATTTTTTAATTAAAGGAACAGTCAAAAATTGAGTGGTTTTTTTTCAATTAAAGGATTTTATCTAAAAGTCTGGACTTTTTACTAACTATTTGATTTAAACCTTAGTCTTGCGATGGTTGTAAAGTAATAAAAAAAAACGTACGATCTGCCCATCTTGGACAGGCAGATCGTACTTGCGATCATCGCAAGCCCGCCCCCCTGAGGGGCGGGCTTGCGATGACTGCAATGCTGAATGGGCAGTGTGCGGGTGCGCACACCGGCCCGTGCGGCATTGATCTTATGATCATGCTAAAAACCAGCCGAAAATCGTACGATTCTTGGCTGGTTTTCTAGCATGCTCCTTAGACAAAAGACGTGCGACCATACAGTAAAAACGGTCGCACGTCTTCCATACACTTTGCGATTATCGTACGATCGCGGGATTTCCCGCGATTATCGTGCGATAATCACACAGTGTATGGGCGCCTATACTGAGGGAAATTTATCAAAACTGGAGCAGACAAAATCTGGAGCAACTGTGCATGGCAAAAAATCAGATTCTCTCTTTCATTTTCAAATCTTAACTGAACAAACTGAAGAGAGAAGCTGATTGGTTGCCGTTGGCAACTGCTCTAAATGATGTCTGCTCCAGTTTTGATAAATTCCCCCCAATGTATAGTGGGAGTTTTATCAATTTTCACTGCCAAAGTGGAAATACACTTTAAGCTGGTTGGCTGCAATGTCCATGGTCTTGTGTATATGTTTATTATTAATCTGCCTTCTTTGTGATTAGTAGGTAAATTGTTAAAATACGAGCTATGATACAACTGCAGTTTTACTAATAAACAATATATTTTATTTCAGGTAACACAAATGACTACTGCCAAAGAATTCTGTGCTATTGTGACAAACGATTTGCTGAGTGTTTGGAAAAAGTACCTTACAATAACCTGCATGCTCTATATCCCAATTTCCTTTGTGGGACAAAGACTCCACCCTGCAGTTTATATAAAGAACAGCATTTCATTCGCAGAAAGAAAGTAAAGAAAGTAGAAAGTAAAGGCTTATTAAATGGCTGTTTTTCATAAAATTCTGTTATCTTATAACTCCAGCCCCATTACATAGTAGGGATGCACCTACTCGTACTCGCCCAAATGCTCCGATGCGTAGCCCGATACCCGAACTTCCGGTATCAGGAAGGCGGGCAGTGAGTCATTACATGCTGCCCTGTTTCCTGATTGGCCGGGAAGCCGGCTCCATGCTCCCTCCTCACTTGACAGGGACTTGACAGCTTACCTGCTAATCGGGAAGCCGGATGGAGAGTCTTTACACGCCGCCCGGCTTCCTAGCTAATCGGGAAGCCAGGTGCCGCCTGGCTTCCTTAATGGGACTTCTAGTATCAGTATTTGGTATCGGCGAGTACCAGAAAAAAATATCGGTACTCGTACTCGATACCGACAAACCGGTATTGGTGCATCCCTAAAAAAAAAAATGCAGCTATTGCTCAAGATAAAAGCTATTTGGAGCATATGTAACTGCCCTACAACTGATTGCTTGATTACATGACTTAAATCACACATAAGCTTACTTCCATTGCCTGCCATGTATTTAAGTGGAGGCGATTGATCACTAGATATTGTAATTGCCATGCAGAGATCCTCAGCTATTCTGATAAGGCTCATTGTCCTCACTTATAAACATTGATTTCAGTGTGTAAAAGAATCACAGGCTTTTGAATACTATATTTTTTTAAAATTATGATTACATTTTTGTCAAAGCATGCTCTTCATTTGTTCATTTTATAAAAATTAAAGAATAATAAAATTATTATAAAAGGTTTAACACACCACCTTTATTCATTTGTGTGCGTTCATTTTCTATGTATGCTGTAAATAGGTTTTGATCACAAATTCTGCCATCAACGTTTTAAAGGTCTGGCCATTTCTAAACATCGTAAGAACCGCAATCTGCTACATATAAGAAGTTTCAAGTAGATTAGACAATTGCTTGTTTGGCTGCAGTATATACAGGCCCGGATTCCCCACAAGGCCCGGCCTCGGGGGGCGGCAGGGCGCAGAGGGGTGGCAGCGGTGTCCTTGTGGGGAAGTTGCCCTCTCTACATTCAGTCCTGCTGTGCACAAGCAGGACTAAATGTAGAGTGAGGCAGCCGATTGTTCGTTTACATGTGAACACGGCGATGTCGCCGAGATCACATGTAAACAGCGTGCAGCCTCCTCCCCTCCCCCTGCACTTACCTCTCTCCTCGCTGGCTCCGCCGCCGAGTCTCTCACTGCAGGGAGTAGAGCGGCAGGGTTAAAAGTAACCCTGCCGCTCCGTGTAGACAGTGAGAGGGTAGAGCTGTGCTCTTCCTCTCTCACCTGTCACAGGAGTTCCTGCACACTGCTGTGCTAGAACTCCTGTATTGGAGGTGACAGGTTCAATAAAGAGAACCTGTCACCTCCAATTGCTATCACACAGCGGATTGTTTTCTCCTGTGTGATAGCAATAAAGTTAGGTGAAAAAAAATGTAATTGATAAAGAAAAAATAATGAAATAAACAAAAATTTAAAAAAATAAGAAGAAATAATTAAAAAGAAAGTGATAAAAAAGTTTTAAAAAAATAAAGAAACAGTAAAAAAAATTTAAACTAACATGCGTCGGGGGCGCATACGTGCAAAAAAGACGATTGTGCCCACTACACCGCACAGGTTACATATCGCCACGAACGCCTGAGTGAGAGCAATAATTCTAGGGCCATCAATCACTGATAACACTAGACTGATGAGCGGTAAAAGCTTTTAAAGCGTCGCCTATGGCCAATTTTGGGTATGGTAGTTTTCTGCGATTTCGCGGGTGCGCGCAATTTTAAAGCTTGACATGTTTGGTGTCTATTTACCTGACATGACCCGGTCTTTTATATTTTACCAAAAAGCTGGGTAATAATAAATGTTTCCTAACATAATGTAAAAAAAAACTTTTTTTTTTTTCAAAATTTTCAGTAATTTTTCCTAATTATAGTTAAAAAAAAAGAAAGCTCTATGTGTCCCCAAAAAATGGTATACAATTCATTTCAGTACAGCGTTGCATGACGGAATAAACGTCAGTAAAAGTACCGCAGCGCTGAATACTGAAAAATGGCCTGGCCAGGAAGGGGGTCTAAACACCTGGTCTTCAAGCAGTTAAGCAGCAAGGGTTCACTTGTCTGGTGTTCCTGCAATGAGTGCAGACGCTGGACAAAGCTCCCTACAGACCCGCGCTCAATCATGAATGATAGGCTGTCCCCATGGGACCCTCCAGAGCCTGCATGCCCTCCTGACCCTGCTGGGACTTCTTGTGCTTCTCATCCTTAAGGTGCCCATACACCTTACGACCATCGCAAAACTTTTGTCTTGCGATGGTCGAATGCTTCTTGAAAGCCCGTACGATCTGCCCACCTTGGACGGGCAGATCGTACTTGCGATCATCGAAAGCCCGCACCGCTGAGGGGCGGGCTTCCGATGACGGCAATGCAGAACAGGCAGTGTGCGCGTGCTCACACCGGCCGGTTCCGCAGCTATCGGGCGAGCAGGCTAGAAACCCGTCGAGAATAGTACGATTCTCGGCAGGTTTTCGAACATGTTGGCTCGACAAAAGACGTGTGACCGTACAGTAGAAACGGTCGCACGTCTTAGTTCACACTGCTCGATTCTCGTACGATCGCGGGATTTCGCCCGATTCTCGTACGAGAATCGTGCAGTGTATGGGCACCTTTACATTGCAGCTATACCAGTCACTACAGTCAGGATACAGACTCCAGGATTACTTCTACCTGCTAACCAGTGTACTCCTAACAGCAAGTATTGATTACCCCAGCTGTTACTTGCTTATGCAACTTAACTGACTTTGCTAGTTGATGTGAAAGTGATCATTGCAAACATCCCTGTTCATCCTTTCCATACAATCTTGTGTGATAAATGCACTTGTGATGTGAAGTGAACATTGCAAACACCTCCGTTTATCCTAGCCATACAATCCTGTGTGATATATGCACTTGTGATGTGAAGTGAACATTGAAAATACCCGGGTTGTTACTTGCTCAGTCAACCAATTGACTTTTGCTGCTTGTTTGTGAAGTGAACATTTCAAGTAGCACCATTTGACCATTCCTTACTTAAAACGATTATTGAACTACCGTGTGAAGTGACGGTTAATTTCCCTTGTTGGAAGGAGATCCGCAGTTGAGTTCCATCTCCAAACATATAAGGTCATTACACATACGTACAGGCTGCCAGAGTGATCCACTCTTTTGCCTCTTCTGAAGTCCTCCCTGAAGTCCTCCCTCACCTTTGGGCTGCTGGCTTTTATTCAGAGAAAATGGCATCCCACTTGTGGGTGTCGCCCCTCAAAACTTGTATGAGAGCGAAATATAAAGTATTTCACTTTCCCACCTCTTGGTGGCAGTGTTGTATCATGAATTGCCCTCAGTAGTCAATGGTGAATAAGCCTTGACCAGTCGAGGTGTGATTGTTTACACAAGGTTACCCCATAACACCATCCCATTGTGATACGAATAATGGGAAAGCAATACAGGGCAGGCATACCATTGTCAAAATCCAGTTTGGTCTGTTTAGAAGGCACCTTCCATTGTGAGAAACCAGCTCTGTCAACAGCCAAGCAGACAATATGTCTACTTTGTAAGTCCTGTGGGTGTCTGAAATATA